TGTGGTTACAAATCGGGCTGCTAATCTCACGGTCAGCAGTTTGAAACTACCAGCTGTTCCATGGGAGAAAGATGAGGCTTTCTGCTCCTGTAATGATTTATAGCCTCGGAAGCCCTGTACAGGGTCGCTATGAGTCAGAACTGACTCCACGGTACTTAACAAGAGCAACATACAAAGTATATGCAGTTAAAAATGGTGATAAGGATCGGAAAGAAAAGAGCTGAGTAAATAACGCTGGGAAGGCGTTAACTGCCCATTTTACACAAGGAAACTGAAGTTAAGGGTCTCTAGGTTACCACCCCACAAGCTGTGAACAAACAGCTTGTGAGCCACAGATGGGCATCTGAACACAGATCCAGTGAGTGTCAGTCCTTCGTGCCTCCTGGGGGTGGGAAGCAAGGTAAGAGAGAGGGTGGGATGGTTTTCCTTCCCCAGGTATGGGAACTAGCACCTAGAAGTCCTGGTGCCCTCTGACCCCTGAGCCATGCCGTCACGTGCCTGCAGAGTGTGGTGCGTGTGGTGTTCCATGACCGACGCCTACAGTACACCGAGCAGCAGCAGCTGGACGGGTGGAGGTGGAGCCGGCCAGGGGACCGCATCTTGGACATTGGTAAGAGGAGAGGGATGAGGGACACTCTGAAACTGCTTTTTAACTCGAAGTCCTTATGTACAGGGAGAGCTGAGCATCCCCCCGCCCCCAATTGCTATTCTGTTCTGCAGATGTGCCATTGTCGGTGGGCGTGATCGAATCCCAAGTGCTGCCCTCACAACTCAACACAGTGGAATTCCACTGGGACCCGACCAAGAAGACATCCCTTTTCTTGCAGGTGAGTTTGTGGCGGGGACTGGAAGGAGGCAGGAGGTCACATGGGGGTGGCAGCAACCTAAGTGGGAAACAAAGGCAAGTTTGAGCGGGAAGGAGACAATCAGAATGAATCACTACCAGAAAGCAACTAGAATTAAAAATAAGGATACGTGATCATCTAATCTCAGTATGGGAAAGAACTCATTATACATTAAAGCAGTGAAGGAAACTGAGAAACACAGGGTAGGATTGATTTTTTATGAAGTAATGTGGTCTGTTGATAATAGGCAAAATTACAAGGAGACAGCAATGGGAAAAATATTTGCCACACCCCTGAGACTATGGCCCTTGGACACTCTTTAAGCCTGCAACTGAATTTATTCCTGCAGCTCAACTTTCAGTCAAACAATAGACATGCCTATAAAGTGAACAATAACACCAGGGAGGTAAGCTCTTATTAGAACAATCAACCATAAAGATCAAAATGGCAGCATTTCCCTGTGACTAAAGCTCAGAAGGCAGGAAGGAACAGGAAAGAAGGGCAAAGGGGAATGGAAAACACAGGGAGGAAGTGGGAAGTGTGCTGTGATTACGTAGTGGGCATCGCAATTAATGTCACAAAACAAAACGTGTATGAATTATTGAGTGGGGAACCAATTTGTTCTGTAAACTTCCACCTAAATTACAAAAAAAAAAAAAAAAAAGTTGAAATGGCAAATTTTATGTTATATATATTTTACAACACTAAAAAGCTTTAATTAAATATTTGCCATATTGCATGCAATGTGTTAGATTAAGGATATCATTGATATATAGAGAGTTCTTATATATCAGTAAGAAACATAGCTGTAACCTCAATAGACAAATGGACAAAGGCTGTGAGCAGCAATTTACATAAGAAGAATATGAATTGCCAATAAATGCACCTAGTACAAACTTACAAAATCCAATCCAAGAAATACTAAGACTGATGACTATTATTGATAAGATTAGGGGAAATATTATTGTAAGGTGCCTTTGAGTCGGTTCCAACTCATAGCGACTGCACAGACAATAGAACGATATACTGCTCAGTCCTGTATCATCCTCAGAATGGTTGTCACCCTTGTTTTTTGCCAATACCTTCAGAGCAGCTTCAGTAGCATCAGTTCTTTTTTTTTTTTTTTAACTGTTTATTGTGAATTGAGTAAAGGTTTACAGAATAGATCATCAGTTCTACATTCAATAAATCATACACTTCGTATCATTACAATGATTGCAATCCCTTCTATCATCAATTAACAATATTTACCTCTATTAGCTTTAACTCTTAGAATCCTCCCTGTGTTTTCCACTACCTTCATCTTCCCTGTGCCAACCTCCCTCTTCCTGTGTATTATATCACTTTAAAAAAGACTTTTTTTTTTTTTTCCATTACATTGATTATAATCCCCTCCATGTAAAGGACAGGGCATATCATCAGTTTTACGTTCAACAAATCATATACCTTGCTTCATTACATTGATTATAATCCCCTCCATGTACCATCAGTTAACAGTATTTCTCTCTATCCACTTTAGCTTTTT